AATGACGTTCCAAAAAAAGTTTCGTGAAGAAAAAACGTTCCTGTAGTGTTTTATTTAGCATTTTGTAAATCCCATTGAGTTCTGTAGGAATAGTCAATATTCCCCTGCCACCGGAAACGGAAATGGGGCCTGTTTACACAGTTGTAGTCTTTTCGCTTCACTCTGTGTACTCCGACGTCGAGAATCAAGAATCCACCTTTCGTATTCCATTTTCAGAGTTTTTTAAAGTGTTTAACAGAGACGTTAGCACCTCGACGTCGGAGTACAGAGTGAAGCGAAAAGACTACAACTGTGTAAACAGGCCCCATTTCCGTTTCCGGTGGCAGGGGAATATTGACTATTCCAACAGAACTCAATGGGATTTACAAAATGCTAAATAAAACACTACAGGAACGTTTAAGGTTGTTTTAAGGACATTATCGGACATGCTCTATGGAAGCCATTCTAAAGCAGCCAGGGGTGGATTCTAAATTAGCCAAAAAGCAGAGACAGGAGCAATTGTCAAACTTTTGGTGTCGATCATTCGATTTCATCCTGGACACTACAGAAAATGGGCTTAAAGTGTAAAAAACCGAACTTCTCCTTTAAGGAGCAGGATCTTAAATATCATGCTTAGGTGCAGAGAATTATAGTCTGTCTGACAATCTAACAAGCAATATGTCACATCAGAATGTGAATGCCCTGCTTTCTAACAAGTGGTTCGCCTCTTCCCTTTGTACAATAAATCCTGAGGTGTTTGTCTCGGATGACTTCCACCAGGTCACCTTGATATCTGTGTAATGCTGGTGGGATATGCGGAGTAGCCCTCCTTTTTTTTAGGCGGACTTAAATGTTAAATGTTTGAAGTCATGTAGTTACTCCGAACTAGTAACAGAGTGAAGTAGAAGTCGTAAAAGTAACCAACAGCTGAGTCAAACAGTGAAGCTCTTTTTTAACTGGTCAGACTGCACTACTATACTACCCTCACCTATGGTTATGAAATCTGGGTCATGTCCAAAATAATAAGATTGTGGATACAAGGGGCTGAAATGAGCTTCCTCCACAGTCTGTCTCTGTTAAAGAATATATAAGGAGCTCAGTCATCTCCTACTGGAAGTTTTCCTGGTAGATGTCATCCGAAGGAGGCTGAGGGAATGACCCAGGACACATTTGAAAGGATTATGTGTCCTAGCAGGCCCTGGAGTACCTCAGGTTTGCACCAGAGTAGCTAGAGGGGGTGTCTGGGCTGAGGGAAGCCTGGACATCTATGCTGAGACTGCTACCCATATGACTAGGTAGCAGAAAAAGCAGAAGATAAAAACTTTGAACAACATTTTGTTTTGTTTTTCATCAATGGTGTAATCGAATCCTTTTTCACATATATTGCAGTGTAATGCGGTGTGTTACAACTCTATCAATTGAAGCGGATTTTCACAGGACTGCTTTTTGTTAAAACATGACAGAAGAAGCTTGCCATTTTCCTTTGGTATCGCATGTGAGAACATTTGCACAAAATGAGCATAATACCAAACTTTATTTATGTAAACATTCATGCCAAGGTATAAAATTAAATTGGTCTGTGGTTATTTTCAGTGTTTGACATAAATACTACAACATGTGCTCTAATTCTGGTACGTCTCTAGAATGCCTCTGCTAAAGCACAGCACTAGAACATTTAATCATTTATTACACAACCAATGAATGGTCCATTCCAGTCTGTACATCGTTAAATTAGCAGCTGGTTTTATTGCCTCAGGTCTTACTACTACCAATTTGAAAATGTACTTTTGTTTGTTCTCTGTTCAAAGGCAGTGACCCAACTTCCATATATAATTACAGACCATTCTCCTATCTGTTCTGGAAAAACTTCTAGATTCCCTTTTCTGCGAGTGGTCAGTTAAAAAGAATTCTTATGGTCAATAAAATTACACCTGACATAGAATCTGGTTCATGAAGAAAAACAGCACACGGCAGCCTTAGAATTAGGCAATTATATAAATTTTACCATAAACATCCCTTTGCATCTTTTTCATAAATTTAGCTAAAATATTTCACACTGTTGATCACACTCCTGGAACAGACTCACTGCCTGTGGTCCCTCATACCATACTGTAAACTGATTCATAATTACCTCTATGGATGGACTTGCTGTGTTTAGGCTGATGGCTTCAACTCCGAAGCACTCAGTGTTATGAATCAGAATGTAGGAACCAGAATTCAGGCAAGAAAGACTGGAATACTTAAAAAGGGTATATTCAAACAATGACGGAACGGATCTGCAATGACAGCGTTTGCAGCAGCTAGGGCTTCTGAGGCAGAAACGTCTATCTGTGAAAAATACAGGATAGTGACTATGATAAGCTTACAGAGGATGATTGTGAACGCGTGAGTCACTAACCTGGTTTGACAGTTCAGTTCATGCCCAGAAAACGAGGATGATTCCAGCTGGTCGACTGACAAGATGTAGCAGACACTGCCAGAGAGTTCCAGACACAGAAGCCTAGAAGGCTACAGAGTTGACAGGAAACCAGATCCGAGCTGACAAAGTAAAGGCAGGATAATCCACACGGTGAAGTCAAGAAGCAGATCCAGATCAGAAAAAAGGCCAGGCAAACAGATCAGACAGAGGCAGGCAGGCTTAAAGGTCCAAATACAGAAACGGATCAAAATCAGGCAATCAGAACACTAAAGAAATGCTAGAGAACTCTCAAAGCCATAGGCTCAAGAAAAATCTGGCACTGATGGCTTGGACCAAGGATTTTAAACAGAAGCAGGAGCAGGTGGAACAGATTGGAAGTGATGAGAAACAGGGCAGAGCTAGGTAATTGAAATGAGCATCAAGCCAGCCATCAGCACCAGAATCATGAGACTAAGCATTAACAGCCGAGTACCTCAAAGATTACTTTTAGGACTGCTAGTTTTTATTTACATCAACATCATTAATCAAAATATTTCAAATGCTTATACACATTTCTATGCCGAGGACGCAATACTCCATAGCTCTGCATCCTCACCTTCACTTACCATTACACAGCTACAATTAGCTTTTGACACTATTCCATACATATACTTCATGACCTAAAATGTATCTTATACCCAGATAAAATTTGTACTGTTGCCAAACTCCAAACCAAGCTACCAAAATCTACCACAAATCTTTGCATTATATGGTTTATATACACAGTGGTGGTAAGTAACAAAGTAAATTTACTAGAATAAGTACTTTTTTTTGAGTATCTTTACTTGAGTAATTCATTTTGGGGGGATATTTATGGTATAACCTTGAATCCACTACATTTCTAGGGGAACTTTCTAGTGGAGTTTTTCGTTTTTTCGTTTTTCATTACTACATTTGGCTGAGCTTAGTTTTGTAATCCGCCGTTGCTGGGTTTTTTTTTTTGTTTTTTTTTTCTTGAAACGTAATTTAAACATGTAAGATTGCAGCCGTAAGAATTGAATGTGGACACCACGTTTTTACAGATTTGCGTGATATTTCAGAAAAGTGAAAAACTCAGGCAGATATTAGTAGTTTTAAATTTTATCAAGGCATTAGTTGTTGTCATGGGATTGCATGTTGCCATTTGTTTTTGTTTTTTTGGTTTTTAAATAGGAAATAATAACGTTTTTTTTTTTTTTTTTGTAGCAGGTGGTTCTACGTATCAATGCATCCGGTGATCATCAATACATCTCTAAAATTTCCCGGTTCTTTAAAATTACCCTGAAAATTATACAGAAATTTTCTGATATTACAAAACTGAATTTTTACTTGTGAATACTTAAGTATTTTCCAAAGTGAGTATTTCACACTTTTATTTGAGTAGATGTTGGATCAAGTAACTTTTACTTGTAGTTGATTAAGATTTGACTGTAATTATCAATACTTTTACTCAAGTGATGAGTACTTCGTCCACTGATGCATATAGAATAACTCACTCATTTAAATATCTCAGAATCAGGATCCACAGTACACTCTTGTTTACATTCCACATTCAGCAGCTGGTAAAACAACTCCGGGTAAAGTAAGGTTTTGTATTTTTGAATTCAGACTTATGTTTCTTTTAAGGCTCGAAAGAGTCTTGTTTAAGCCAGTCAGTATTGGAATATGGATAAATACTGTAAATGCACACATCAGTTCAGAGTCTGCTGAGGTCTACATTCAGCTTAGCATAGAGAGAGGTTCACCTCCGGCCTCAGGGTCCTGACTCATCACTGTGCTTTTTATGTCTGTGTTGTTTGGTCATCCCTGAAGTCTAAAGGCTTCAGACTTTCTTTTTAAGGAAAGCTTTAAAATTGAATCAATGGACTTTTTAGACTCTTTTAAAAGGATCAAAAGGGATGAAGAAACATTCGTTTGTAACTGCTTCCCTTGAGTAATTTAATTATAGTGTGAAATTGTCATGATGGTATTTTTGGAGTTGTGTTTCACAGTGTGAAACTGACATATAATTTAACACCTTCCTGTCTTAGCCAGGATGCTCTTGAGAAGAAATGTTTATTCTCAATGAGATTGTCCTGGTTAAATAATTAAATAAAATATCTAACTGACTAACTGACTGACTGACTCTTTTTGCCCAATTGATTAGAAGTAGAAAGTGCTTTTAAGGCCTCTTTCAACTGTCACTATCAGTTTGGAAGTAGTCCTATTTAAATAGGGTGTTCCAAACCAGTTTTGTAGTTATTTTTCTTTTGTACATGCAACTGTTGTAGATTACCTGTATTTATTGAATGTGCATTATTTTTTTTTTTTTTTGCAAGAGGACTTTGGTGCTCAATATAATCTATACTATTGAAAATTAGGCCCTACATGTAGAAACCTTTGCAGGGAATTTACCTCTTTTTGCAAATCTCTCTTAAAGTTCATTCAAAACATAGGTTTGTCAGGTCCTTCATCTCGAAAGGAAATGAGTTTCTCATCAACTGTTGCTTTTTTTGTTGTTTCTTTTCTTTGCTTGGCAGCTCTGTGCTTTTTAAATCTGCCAGGCTGAATGTTTAAATGAGTAATACGGTGGATCTCTCCGCAGGGCCGATCGCTGTTCCTACAGTCATCCAGAAACGTCTCGGTCAATATCGTGAACAGCAACAACCAGCTGCTCACGCAGCTCGTCACAGGTAAGACTCAGCAGGACCCACACCCACTACTTTCATGGAGCTCCTTGATGTTTCTTTTATGTGATGTATGTTCCTTCAAAGGCATCAGTCCTGATGACGTCTATATCAGCAACAGAAAACAAGATTTAACAATCTCCCCTTAGCATCTAAAACAGTAATAACTGTGAATTATTTACCTTCAAAACACATGATGTGAGGCAGATCTGATAAATCTTAGATTTTCATTCAAAGGAACCTTAAATTGGACTATTCTATAAAGAAACTTGATTTTCCAAAATCTTTTCTGGATTTCTCTATTTTCCTTGTCATGTGGGCTGTTTAGGTTTCTTTTGTTGCTTTCATCACAGTACTCCAATTGAGATAGCATGGCTTGTAACACTGCTCAACGTTGGTGCGCATAAAACTACTGACCATTTAAAAATATATATATATATTCTGCTTATTGTCATTTTTTTTTAATCTAAGGTTTAAAATGTACTTATAATGTGTTAGATTTTTATGGGAGGGGATAATAATACCAATGCCATACTCTCTTTTATCGAGGGCTCTTGTTTTTGTTGTTAGTTTTTCTTCTTTTCGGCCATTAAGGTCAGTGATTTCCAAAGATCAGTTGTGGCCCTTGGGAGGATTCAGTGTGTTCCCCTGGCCATATTCCAAAATGTAAGTTCAATTCAGTTTATTTGTTCAGTGAACATTTCATCTCAAAAGAGACAATGGTCGGATTGGCAAACATTTCTATCAAAAAAAAAAAAAAAAAAGCTGATTGCACTGAGTCGTGGACTTGCAAGACATGCTCCTCTCGGATGAGATAGCTGTCACGATTTTGGCTTGAATTTTGTTGTTGACTCTTCAGCAATCCCTCACACCTAACACATATTCAGCCACATCGGAGAAGAAAGCGTCAGCAGAACCAAGCTCAGTGTGAGCCACCTTCTGTCTAAGCCAACTGGGGTTCAGACAGATAGAAGCAGAGATACTAAAAGAACCAGATATACAAATTGTTACTGTTCACTGGCGTACTGGTGGCCCCCTCCAGGACAGAAACAGCGAAGCAGTTGAGATCTGCGCCAGTTCTGCTGTCAAAGGATGGTTCTTGTGTTCTCCTTTCACCTTTTATTGGGTCAAAAGGATACTTTCCAGAGTTGAAAAGGAGCTCTAGGCAGCTGTCCACACAGCCTTAAGCCATATGGACATCCTTATATGACAGCCTTCCAGAAAAAAGTTACACAAATGTCATGAATGACTGAAGCTGTCCATTATAAAACCCATATGAAGGTACATGTGTATTTCTGTTAAACTCCGGGGGATGGGATGTACCCGCCACTCATTCTGTCAAACACAGGATTGTGGCCAGTCCTATAGCTCCGATGATGTTCCTATGCTAAATGATTTATCCATAGGAGGTAGAGACTTCGGAAATGTATATCAAAACCAACCCAATAGGGGTTAATATGTTTATACTTTCATTTGATGACCTCTGTTCACGAATTGGCCCATAAAGCAACTTACCCAAACAACATTAGTTAAGTGAGAAGATTGTCTTCCAAATTATATGATTCGGAAACGATGGGGTATATTTATTAATGGCAAAATTTTGTTAAATGTTTTGTTGCTTTTTAAAATGTGACCTGGTGCTATTCATAAGGTTTGAAATTACCTAGATTACTTATCTTAGAACACCAGTTAAATTTAGTTATATTCGAAGTATTATTTTATTTTCTGCTTCTTACATTCACCATGTTTTTAAAGGGAGCACTTGTTTGTTCTTTCTGCTATATTTCTAATATTTTTATTACGGCAAAATAAAAATACAAAGGGCAGACAATCTTACAAACCAAGGGACACAATTTGGACAGAAATAACTCTCTTTAACAGCAAACCTTCAGCCACACATGAGTGTGTAAGAGCAGCAATTTACTTTTTTTACAGAAGGGCATGCACACAAAAGCCCCAGTCCTGTGCTTTTGGTTTTTACCAAAAAAGGAGGGAGTAAAAGACAACAGTAGCTCTCTTAGAGGCTTTCTCTAAAATAAGAAATTGACTGAACAGAAGCTGCTAGACTGTGATTAATTCCATAGGATGGGAGATTTTGCATTGCATGAGTCTCATCAGAAGAACCTTTAATAGTTTTATCAAGAATAAAAAAAACGTAGAACATGATTGAAGGAACAAATGTCTCAACCAAAGTACACAAGATCAAAATGTTTACTCTGCATCAACAACTAATGGCTCCTTAACTATGTTGGTCTACAGTACTTGCGAAAATCTTCTGAATTTAGTTCCTTTTGTTACATTTAGGTACCTCATTTTTAAAAAATAATTGCAAAAGGCCATCTTAAATAATAATTTCATCAAGTAAAACTCTTTAATATGAACCTAGCTAGTAAGTTTTCAAATATTAACACCCTATTTGAGTTTCTTGAATAGGTATTTGACTTCAAAATTGTCACATCTTTCAAGCAGATTCAAATACACACTAAGGAGGGGTGAGTGCAGTTCCTGCATTGAAAATGTGTTATTCTGAGTAATATTAGCTCATCATTTCCAGTTCATTTAAATTCTGCTAATCCTCAAAAATACGCCCTTCATGAGTTTAGCCTCCGCTTCTTTTCTTCTATGATAATCACAGTCTCTCCTTTACTTGCTGCACTTGTCAAAACCCAAAGGAGTTGGCGGTGTTGAATGAATGGTGCTCACTGTGCGTGAACAAGCTCAGGAAGTGTCTTTCACATTCGAGAAGGGCGCTGACATTTGGCTTCTGGCTCTGAAAGGGATGCAGTCGAATACGCCCCAATGTTTGTCCCTTGGATGACTAAGCAGAGTTCGTGTCATGGGAAGGAACTTGAAATCATCCCGGAAAGTGACACAATTAATTGCTCTTCTGTCAATCAGTCACACTCAGAGGCATGTGTTTTCTGCCTCTAGGTTAAACAAAGCAATTAAGGTCAGACACACTTCCCTGTTTTTTCATGTCGGTCATGACACCATTCAGGTTTGTCTCAATGTATCTGAGGTTTTTCCCAAGTGCCATGCAGATTTGTTGTGACTTATCTTTTGGTGTATTTCTTTTATTTTAACAGAGAAGGATTTTAAAGAAAATGAAATCCATATTTTTTGTTTTTTATATTTCCTCATATCAATCCAAATGTTAATATTTAATGTTTAAAAGGACTTTGGGTACATGTGCATTCACAGAACAGCAATCGTAATTAGACGTGACATGCCGCTTTCTTTTATAATCATTTACCTGTGAAATTTATAGTAGACAGTGCCCTAGATAATTGCCCATGAGAGCATCCTATCAGGCTTGTGGGCTAATATTGTAAATAAATAATGCACAATCTGATTTAAAACTGATGAGAGTTTAAGCCCAACTAAGAAAAAATGTATCACAAATCAGAGCTTCTACAGGCAGTAAAGAGAGAAAAAGGGTGAATACACTCTTCGGTCTTGATTGTAAAAACTCTTTAGTTAGAGTTAAATCCCAAAAATGGACATGTAAGAAAATAGTGCAATGTTAAAAAAATACAGTATAACTGGTTTGATGTAGTGTTCACTTTTGGTATTCTAATTTGAAATGAAATTGATGACAACATTGGAATAAATGCATAATTATCAGATACATAGCCATTGTCATGGATTAAGCAACAACTTTTGACGTGTAATATTCATCAGTAAGCAATGAAGTGATTGTGCAACAATAATTTTAGCAGTGATTAATATCAGTGATCCTATCAAAGATTAGAGATGATTAGCATCAATTAGTATAAGAGTCCCCTTGCTTTCTAAGAATTATATTTTCAGAGATTCACATCAGTAAGCCAATCAGTGATTAGAGCCAGGTTAGTTAGCAGTAGTTAATTAATAAGTCCAACACTAAGTTGGCAGAAATTAACTTCATTAGGACTAGCTATGATTAGCTTCAGAGAGTCATTCACTGATTTTTCTTCGATCAGGTTAGGAAAATATAAGCATAAAATGAAACTAATTTTTTTTTCAACTAGTTAGTAGAATTAATAACAGATCAGTAAGTTTTCAAAAATCTGTTGCAATATCTGCCTATTCTTGGTTTGGCAATAATGAGCATTATCTTGATAGTAATTAGCATTAAATATTAAATAACAAAACAATGTGAAGCAATTTGTAAACAGTGAAAGTAGACTTAAAGTGTGAGAAAAGCAGCACGACATTTGTAATTTTCTCTTGACTTTAACTAATCTGGCTGATAATTATCAATTACTGTGAAAGTGATTAGCATTGGCTAGCCTATAAGTTCTTAGAATCGGCTATACAGTAATATAGATTTTTTTCTATATTGTAATTATTATAAGTTAAACTATCAACAGTTTTCAATAATTAATTTATAGGTATTTGTATTATTAAGTGTAGCAGTTAGTAAATAAACTCGTAATATACTGTAGACAGCCACAACATTTTAAGATTTCAGTCCCAAGGTGCCTGGTTTACATGCAAAGTCTATGGTGGATGGCATCAAGTGTCTACAAGAGATCCTGCAGCACATGGGACATGTCAAGTTTTGTAACGTTTCTTCTGCCAAGCACTGTGCATTTAAAACATTCAAACATCCAAAAAAGGCAAATGCTGGAGTTAGAAAATCTGAATATTTTGCAGCTCAACACAGATTGTCAACCAATCATAGAAGCTGATTAAGGAGCCTTCTAGGAGACAAACACAACATTCAAGCCATGATCTCGCCTCCTGATGAGCTTTCAGCATAAAACGGTGAATAATTAATATTCAAAGAAGTTAAAGTTCATTGGTTTTTACATAAAAATCCAAGAGAGTCTAATCTTCATGGATGAGGATTGAGAGTGAGAGTTATTACTCCACTAAAATATTTTCTTACTAAACTGGGGCAAAACAGCTTATTATACGTTATTAACTAAACATGTCAAAACCTGCTAGGAAAAGATATTTGATTTTATATTCCATCAACCGCTCGGAAAGACAAGCTGTCCGAGCAATAAGGGGGATCTTATAATGGAGCTGATATGGTGTTTAGTTATTAATTGGCTCTGTGAGGGTACGTTTTGACTCTAATTCAAAGATATGATGGAGCCCTCTTGCTGCTCAGTATAAAAAACATTTTCACTCACTGCAGAAATGCTTAGTTGAACTTCATAGTGCTTATTTGAACAAAGGTTCTGTTTTTCTTTGAAAATATCTACACATGAACGACTCACTAGATCCTATTTCATGCCATTTCGCATGAATTTAGGTCAAGGCTTTGAATTGGCCATTACTGTCCACTAATGTAATTCTATCAAGCCATCTTATTGGTTGAACAACCTCTATGCTTGGTGCCATTATGTTGCCCTCTGGCCTACTTTCTTTTTAGTTCATAAACATATCCATTGTGGAAGTTTTACTGTAGAAGATAATGTTACTGTTTAAAGGCGTTAAGTATATATAAAAAAGGGTCACCATAGTTGGAATAGGTTGCCAATAGGACCACCGTAAAGTAGTTAAGGATTTGATTCTCAGTTAAAACAAATACTTAAAGGGAAAGCTGTTTACTGAGTCTTTTTTGTTTGGGCATGTAAAGGTTTTTCTTATTTTTGATTGTTTTAATTCAACATTAACATGGTGCCGAAGTCCAGTACTCGAGAGCTACAAGCCTCTAACTTTTGTCGGCATCCTTCAACATAGTAAATATACTCTACAGACATAAAAGCAATTTTAAAAAGACATTCGGATGATGCTTATTTTTCTGATTAAAAGTGTGCCATATTTTCAGAATAACAATCTTTAAGCAGGTATTAACCAGTTTTTCCATGAGTCCACATCTAGTGGAGGTGTCATTACCCTTACAACTTTTCAAAGAAACTTGGATAATATAAGTTACATTTAAAACACCTTTAGAATAAATAATACATTTTCTAATTATTTTAAATTGTCCAAAAAAGTTCTCTGTCCACACATCCGTGCATAAACAGCTACATCTCTAAAAACCTTCCTACTGGAATTGTCAGGGTTCTGCTCTCTGCTTGGGTGTATTTTTATTTTCTTTGTGTTTTGTGTCTTTGTAGTCGATTTTCACCAATGCTTAGTTCTGCTTGTTCGTGCTTGTTTCCTTTCTCATTGGCTTCCTCCTATTTGGTCTTGCCCACACCTGCTCCAAATCTGCTGATTAATCTGTCTTGGTTCAGTCTCCCCATATACACACCACCTTTGCAGTCAGTCGGTGCTGGTTTGTTGTTTTTTGTTGCTCCCTTACCTCTGGTTCCCAACGTGAGTTTTCCCTGACGTTTTGGTTCTTTGTATTTTTGGATTTTACCTCAGTTGCCTCATTAAATTTGCAAGACTCACCTCTGCCCGCTGTTCCCTGCATTTGGGTCCTCAAAAACCTCCACCCTAACGTGACAGTACCTGGTATCATCCCACGTTCCAAAGGCCCCAAAACCTGGCTTAACTGTCATGGTGTCACAGGACTCCACTGGAAGGTTATCAAAGCAACCTGGGCTTCTATTACACCTCAGCAATAGTAGGCTGATCACTACTATGCCACAACGCATTAATAATTTCATGCAAAATTATTTAAAATGCATACCCACTATGCACAGCAACAAACATCATTTTCAGAAGCCAGACATTTCTGTTCAAAATATATATTTTTTGATAAAAAATACTCATGTTTTCTGAGATAGAGAATTTTTTTTTATCATTTTCTATCTTTTTTATCATAATCATCAAAATACATGAAATGGATCTGCGTTTCTAAAAAAAGATATTGTAGGAAAAATTTTTCACTTTTCATGTCGAATCAATTGGATAAATTAATTTTGAATGATATAAGAAGTTAATATAATATGCACCTCTCTTTTCATTTGTCTAAATCAAGACAGAAATTTATATTCAGTAATGACTCAACAATCCTTGCATGATTTTATTCATAATGTAAGTACGGTTTAACTAAGTAGAAAAGCTGTATTCAGGGTTTTAAAATAGGGTTGAATAAATACAGTAAGCCAGTAAGGCCTGCAGGACACATTACTATACTGTTTTTGTATTTCCAAGGTGAACTGAGGAGGAAGACAGCGGTAGCTTTGGTCTTCCTCTTTGATGTCTTCTCTCTGTCTGTGTTCGCTTTAGGATCCAGCGGATTTAAAGCACGGGGGAAGATGTTTGAAGTGAAATCCACCTCCGGGAAGCTGCTCTTCTCGGCGGACGAGCAGGAGGTGGTGGTGGGTGCAGAAAGGCTCCGAGTGATGGGTGAGTGGCCGGCTGCAGCGTTCAGATGCCCCCAATTCAGAGTGTGAAATTAAACTGTGAAGTCTGAGGCGTTATACCTCAAAAGATGCTGTTGAAGGAAGATTTTTGTCTCTGACGTCAGCTGGACATAATTTTTTTATTTAAATTTTTTCTCTTTTTTGGAGGGGGGCGGATAGGAATATAAAAGTGCCATGGATTAAATGCAAAGAAAAATCAAGGTTAAGCTCACATTAGCATCATCAGGAGAGAGAAGTGAGGGCCTTAGATCTCGTGTTTGAGATGACAACCTGCACAGAGCGGATAAAGGAGGATTTTTAAAGCTTTTCCTCAGAGAGAGGAAATTTGAGCTCGGTCAGGAACAGCGATAGCGAGGAACTCATATTTCCAGCAGGAATCAGGGGGGGGAGGTGACATGTAGTCCTTTAGACAAACGAGTTTATGCTTATGACGGGAGATAAGAAGTGACAGAGCAGTTTTAACTGGACGGCCTCTGAGCGACGGAGACGTGACAAGTGATTTCCTGTGTGAGCGGAGAGGTGTAGCAGGAACAGTGAGGAAGAGAAAAACACAAGGCCCAAACAAAGCATCTGCATACAATTAAAGCTGCAACAAAGATGGTCCTGCAGCGTGATGGGAAATGTAATCTGCCTGCAGGAGGTGACAGATTTAATGTTGGCTTTCTCTTTTTCTAAGGGGCTGTGTCAGAAGATTTCAGCATTAAATTAAATGGAAATTATGAAATTTGTTTGACAGCGAGACCCAGCGTGAGGGTTATTACTGAGCTGCTGTTCAAATTACCATTTCTGGGTCTGGAGGAAGGGGAAATTTATGCTGCCTGGGACCTCGGGAGGTCAGATATTCGACCAGGGAAGCTGAATAGATGATATGCTAAGTGGATGGATTTTGCTAAGCAATGAGTTCACAGCCGGAACAACCATCCAGCGACTTCACAAAGTCAATGGAGATTTCCAGCAGCAAATTATTCCTTCTAAACTACCTGCATACTTTATTTCTCTGCAGACATTAAGATGGATCTTCACCATGTTTATTAAGCAACCTGTTGCGCATCTCAGTCCAGAAGGGAACTATTATGCAACAAACAACCGAACGGACATTTAGAAACAACACACTTGTACTGCTCAAGTTTGAATCTGATGTAGAGTTTCTCCATATGAGGTCAACATTAAAAAAACAGTCTTAAATTTATGGGACATCGCCACTGCTATTTGGTAAAATGTCCCTTAATAAGTTGTACTCCTATTAGGTAATGGTGATAGCCCTAAAACAGGTTGTGACACAGCTCTGGCCTTTTCTTCACAGATTTTAACAATACTCCACCAAACTGTGATAGGGATGAGGTCCAGGGCATCCAAGAAACTTATCATAGTTCGACTTTTGTCATGTTTGTGGTGAAATTTGCTGAGTCACATAAAAAAAACAAAAACATTTCAATATATCTTTGGTGCGCTTGCCAGGTTTCCTTACTTGATTGATTGATTAATTAACTTTTTTGATCTCACAGTGGAGTAATGTACTTCTTACATAAGTTCAAATAGTCAAAAAGAAGCAGAAGGTGCCAAAAGGAAAAAAAAGATGTATAGAGTATATATAGTATATACAATGTGTCCACATATATATATATATATATATATATATATATATATATATATATATATATATATATATATATATATATCAGAGATAGCAAAATTACTCACTTTGCGTACTTGAGTAAAAGTACAGATACTCTGGTAAAAGTGGAAGTACTGATTAAACTTCTTTACTCAAGTAAAAGTAACAAAGTACAGGCTTGTAAATTTACTTAAAGTATAAAAGTAAAAGTAGAAACCACTTTTTTCATGCTGTTGCCTACATTTTAAATGGATGTCTGCCAATAGGACTAGATCTACGTTGTGTTCATTTTCAATCATCTCGTCGTCCATACTACAATGCTAACGCCACCGCCACCAAGCTGCAATGATTTGCCGCGAATGAATACCGCCGAATCTGTCGATTCATCTTGTAGTGGTGCGTCAAATGCAACGTAGATTCCCATCCAATTAGATTGAATTTGATATTGATGACGTGAAAAATAATAACGGTAACTCCATTGAAATGATTCAAAACTAAAGTAACGAGCCAATTTTTTTAAATGTAAGGAGTAGAAAGTACAGATATTTGTGTAAAAATGTAAGGAGTAGAAGTAAAAAGTCGCTATAAAAATAAGTATTAAAGTAAAGTAAAAATATCAGAAAAATCTACTTGAGTACAGTAACGAAGTATTTGTACTTCGTAACTTCCCATCTCTAATATATATTTAAATATATATATATATATATATATATATATATATATATATATATATATATATATATATATATATATATATATATATATATATATCTGACAGCAGAAGTCTCTTATTTAGCAGGATTATACGGATCGAGGAACTGGCCTAATTAGATAAACTACTGGGTAAAACATCAGAACTGACACGCAATAGGCAGCTAATATTAAGGTGTAATAAACTCACATCATAAATGATAATTATCCTAACAAAGTAAAGCAGGAATTCTGACATCTTTACAATCTTTCATGGAAGTTTTTCATATAAGAGATTACCCCTTACTGTACATCTTTAAATGATCCCTTAGAACCTCCTCTGATATTATCTAAAATTGTTGAACAGGAAAAGTACATTTGGAAGTTTTGTAAACCAAAATGGGAGTCAGGGTTTGTCTCCTGAAGGGACACAGGACGAACCAGCAGAGGACAGAAGTGAACTTTAGCGGTGCAGAGTCAGGAAAAAATGCAGTAAAGCATGAAAGGTACAAAAACTGAAAAGCTGCTAACTAAGACAAATGCATGGGGAAACTAGGTCTGCTCTGCTGCTATATATTAAAGATCAACTCTGTGTCCCTGAACTTTTAATCACACCTTTCTGGCCAAGGTTGAAAGTCTTTTTACTAAAAAAAAAAAAAAATAGATCAATGTCAGCTCGATGTTACTGTAAGGCAAGGAATGACAAAGGGCAGGAACTAAGTACGGAAATAATTCTAAGATCCCAACATTTTATGTTTGGCATTCTTTAAATGTTCAGTCCTTTGAGAAACTTTTAGACTGTCTAGTTCTGTTGCTGTGAAGAATAACACTACAGAAAGGGGCCACCATGTCTCTACTGGTCACTGTGACCGTATGAGCTGAATCAAAAATTATTTCACTAGATGAAACGGTGACAAGACAGCATGACCTCAATAAAAAAAAATATAAAAATGTGTTCATTGGTTTATAGAGACAGACACCTCAGTTCATTAGAGTCTGCAGTTTGTTTCTCTTTCTTAGCTTCTCCTGTCTCAGAGTAGACAGGAGAAGTTAAAACTTTTCACGTTCACTGATGAGGCAGAATAACTATTGTTGTTAGTCTTCTTCAGCAATCATTTTCTCTCCAGCTTTATGAGTTTATACATCGACGGGAAAGCATTTTGGACTTTTTTATAAGTTTATAATTTTTTAGAATTAATATAATTTTCTTAATCATGTCTGGTTGTGGTCTGTACAGCTCTCTTGTAGTCTGGACTCTGGTTTGCCATCTCTATCTTTAAAGACTCCCATCTTATTGTTCCAACAATGAAACAATTAGAATCAAGATTTAGCTTTTAGACAAATGGCTTCACAAGCCCATATCATCAACCCTCCACTGCAGTCGATTGTGGCAAGTTGGTAAGCTGTTTGTGAAGAGTTCTGGATAATAATTCAGTATCAATATACAGTATAGGAAAATCAAATTTTATTCAATAATGGTAATAATACTTTTAAATACATTCCTGGTATTTTCTTAGACATTACAGATTACATTATAGAACACTTCTGATTATAGCCAGACAGAAATAGCTCATAACACTGGCTTCGGCTGTGTCTGAACGTCTGCCCTAATCACTATAATAGGGCACTATATAGTGGTTACGCCATTTTAGATCAGTGTCCTAACGTCTATTGCACAAAAAAAGTAGTGGACCTGAAATTTCTCACAGTGCCCCTCCCCGCAAAGCATCATGGGATTTGTTTAGGCAGCGAGGAAGAACAAAGATGGAGCAGCCACCATGCGGGGAGGCGGAGTCACATGACCAACTGGAAGTAAAAAGTAGTGATCATCTGTCTGAACGGTGAACCGAATTCACTATTACTCCACTATGTAGTCTTTGCTCTATATAGTGATTGAGGGATTTAGGGGTTAGGGTGGATGTTCAGACACAGCAAGCTTTAGCCACAAAATGAGTGCTTATGGTATGCTAACTAAATGCCACTGTTGTGGATGACTTGTGTCCGGCAAAAGTCGACCCTGCAATTTTTTTTTTATGATAGAATGATGAAGGAGAAAAAGAATATTAGGAGAACATGGTGTTGATTAGCAACAGCTGCACTTAATGCACAGCCTTTGCTACTAAAGGCAAGACTTCCTGTGATATTAAGGGATGCATGAATGGATCAATTTGTATTAACTGAGCTTATCCTTGCTGTAATAAAGGCTTTCTTCACACAAGGAAACAGAACTAGCATTGTCAAAATTTCCTTGGGTAAGAAAAATAGAACTGGGACCTGTATTGTTTTACTAAAGAGAATTGCAAAATGAACCAAGCTTTTATTTAAAAAAAACAGCAATGTAAGTAAGACTGGGGCACAGTGGAAGCTGTGACTTGAATGACAGAAAGAGGGCAAACCTAAAACAAGATAATAAAAAAAAAAACTAAAACAAAACTCCTTGTAAAGCTGCCTATGCACCTAGTCAGAATTCATTAGGGAACTTTACTTTGTATTTTCCTAGCTAGCTATGAGTTTTTGTGCCAATTTATCATATTGATCCAAGTACATAGTCCTTTAGGCATAGGTATGTTTGAGAAATGAGATAAACAATCATCTGATTAAATATACATTTGATCCTTTGAAGTTATAGCTCCAAACTGAATAGTGTTATTTATTTTTTTGATAAATGTTTCCAAAAT